TCAAATCGAGAGCAAGAAGTTTCTCGTCATGGCAAACAACTGGGTGTTGTTCAAGGCTTCTGTTGCTCTCGTTGTTCTCTCGCTCCTGTTTTTAATCATTTTACCAATTATTGCATTACCGATGCTCCTTACAAAGGTACTAACAAAGCTTGACGACAATACTGTAGTCGACGCGTTCTGAGGTCGTATGAAATTTGGAATAGATACAAAAAAGGCATAAGTAATTCTTCTCACTATCTTTCTTCTAATGCGCTGCGTCTAAACATCAGCAAGACCAGTAGGCAATCTGCATGATATGCAATACCAGAAATCCTACATTTCTCTATCTTTAATCATGCATCCTGGAAATATACTACAAACCTGTGATCTAAGTACATCACACTAAGTACTCTGGAGTCATCCTATCAGGAAATCTCACTTGGAATCGTCACATTCAGAAATTAACAATCCGGTATTGCATGACATCGTTCTATGCGAAAAGACTGATGAGCTCGCATGCACCCAGGAAAGCAATTGAAAACTTCGTTTCTACATGCATTCTTCTCTTTTTCATCTATGGGCATAGATCTTCCAGTCTTGTGACTTTAAAGCTTTAACAAAACCGCCTAAACTTGTATCAAGGCTCTGTTATCTGCCTAAAAATGATCTAGCATTGCTCGTTGTTGAAGCAGCAGCAGCATCGCAAGGTATTCGAATGGGAAACAACGTATTTAGCAACTGCGCCCGTCCCCCTGCACGATAGCTTTGCGCACTGTCTGTCACGCAGCAAATCTACCAGATTCCGATATGTCGGTATCTACGCCAGAACCGAGCTCTACCGTAAATCTGTTATCCCCGCAGTAGTACACCATCTCTGCGATTACAACTCAGCATTCATTAATGCTTGATACTTAATGCTCAATGCAAAATAGTGAAACTATTTTGCAGTGTGAAACTATTAACTGTGATAATCGTGCATCTTTGCACATACTGAAAAAATGGAGCTCCTCTGTGACTCCATTCAAGCATTCAAGCTTAGTAACTAACGAAAGTATAAAACAGGTTCTATACTGGGAGGAAAAAGCGCCAAAACTCATTTCAAAATATTCCATGTATATCGGCTAGGGTAAGACTGACAGACCATCTGAAACCGTACTCATTGCTTGTACACCACGTTATCGAAAGTAAAGAATACATCTGTCGTACAAACGCTTACTAGCGATGCCATAACTTTGGTGCTCAACTTGCTGAACGGTACACAAGCACTGCTCTAGCCAGTTTTGATCTTGTTTAAAGTAACGCAAAGTATTTGAGGCAACGAACCTAAATCGATATTGTCGTATAAGGCGACTGCATCCAGGGAAACAATAACAATGGGTTAATTCTTTTGTATGCCGGTTTCGCATAAAGCATTCATTGGGAAGTATCATCCCGAAGGCGATATTATAATCTGCTGACCACTGTTTGTAGTATCTGATCTAAGTGTTCGTTTATCGAATAAAAAATATCATACCACTGAAACAATGACTCTAAACGGTAATGTCAGTTTGTGGAGTTTCACCAGCCCATAAGGTCTGCTAAACTGCAAGAATAACAGGTTGTTAACACACCTGACCAAGTTCTTATCTACTCTGTTTTGTTTAACAAGTATGTTGATCAGGTCTTTGAGCAATTTCCTGGCATTCAGTAGAGGGTTGGCATTCTTCTTTTCTTTGGATACAGCCTTCAAGCTGTCAGCTGATGAATCATTTTTTCCAATAACCTGCCTTGTACACAACGACTGATTCTGCATGGTTTTCAGCGGACAGGAGTATAAGTTATATAAATATAAGTTCAAACTAGTGTCTCATTTCGCGTAAAACTTCTTCAGAAGATATACCACACTTTAATAACACTGCATTCCCAGTAAACCTACCTCTGAAACGTAAATCCGAAGTCAAACAGTAGAATCGAACGGCCCAAGCGACTCAACTGCAACCACAAAATTCAAAAGAAACTTTTCACTTACTAATTAAAACGCAGGATCGACACGGACAACAAAACAGCATCGTCGCATTGAGAACAGCTGTCTACAGCAGGCGACAGCAAGCCATCATCAACGACGCATTCGATGAGGCAGTTCATCAGATGCGTCTGTAACCTGCAGCTCAGAAACACGTTGATTATGTGTTGAGCGAATGGGCGACCAAACCTCTTTACCAAAACCGTGATTTCTCGAAAACACTTGGATAAGAAGTTCAGACACAGAACTTTCAGTGATAGATTGTTTCGCAGTTGCTGTTCAGACACTTGTGACAGTGGACTGTTCACGTAAAAGCTTCGGATATAAAACAGTGAATAACTTATAAAGATTTCCAAATAGACGATGGGCAAAGAGAAAATTTTCGCATCTGCTTTTCGCTCCTCAAAAGTGACTCAGTTTACAACGCGACAAGAAAGGACGTAATGCTCCTTACCGTCAAGCCGCATGTGAAGCACTCATAGCCACAGATCGCTTTTTCGTGACGGACAAACGCTTCAGCCAAAATGTGAATCAACTGTTCATAACTTTTCGTGCTATGCACCGTCGGTTTGTAAACAAGAGAATTTAAGAAGAACGCAGGGCACGAATCCATCAAGCTCAAGAAAATTTCGAACACGTGCCTTACCCGACTACAGTCGAATACGTCATAATACAGCAACCAATCTCCATGTACCGGATGAAGCAGAGAAAATTCATCAACGGGTGCAGAACTCGAACGCCGGCCGATTTTTAAGGTACTGTGTATTCGCCTATGATTTGACTTCCGGTACTCACCGACGGTGGAAAACTGGAGGTACTCAGGAATAATATCATCAAACAAAATCCTATCCGGTTTACAGTCCTTTAACTGGCAAACGTCTTCCACGTAGTCTACGATCTCTTCGAGAACGGTTTTAACAACGCATTCAATGCAACACAATTCTTCGTTCGCTGTCGTGCACCGTTCCGCAACTTCGACCACACCTAAAGATACTGGTGTCATAACTTTATCAAATAATGTTCAACGAGCTCCACGTACCTCGTTTAGCGAAAACTTTCGTAGGTTGTTTCGCGGAGAAATCACTCGTAGAACGCTGCTGAAAATACTTTTTTCTGAAAACGGTCGCCCAGTCAGACACAAAGCACGATTCGACACTGTCGCAATGAAATAAGGAATGCTTCGTGTGTGTTGTTAGTTTAAACAGCATAATTCCAGCGGCAGTATCGTCAGCAACAGCAGCTTTGGAAAATGTCAGAAACCGCGGAGACACTCGAAATGTGTCTGATCGAGTGATTTCGAGACACATCATCTGCAGCAATATGTGCAAGTCGCCATGTTCCAGCACGTCCGTAAACCAATGACGACAGATACAGACGCCCGACGAAGTTGGTAGTAGGCCATGAAGCATGACATCAGTAGCTCTAAAGTTTAATTGTTAAAAATTAAGGCAAAATGCTAGAGAAGCTTAAGGCAGCGTCAGCCGTCACACATCTGCGCATCACTTACGTCCGTTGTCAATACTGAAAATTGCACGAAACCATTACAAGATGACACTGCATCGCAATTCTATTATGCAAAGGACTTCCAACATTTCGAATCGTGCTCAATCTGTCTTCAGGAAGTGAATTCAGGCAAAGCGAAATAAGAGATGATGCAATGAGCAACTTCTGTCCCATAGCTTTGTTTGACTGCCCTTCGTGGACACAGATCAAACATGATTCTAAACTTTGGAAATCTCGTGCATAATAAAACTGTTACTGGTGTACTGGTGTCATTCCGTATAGGATTCCTGCAATTCTGAACTATACACTTGCATAAAAGAGCCAACTACGGCCTTCAAAGATACGTATTGGCAGTTTAAAAACATTTTTAGACCAAAAAATGCAACCGCATGTCTAACAGATCCAGCAGGGCAAAAACTGGATAAAGGCAGCCAAATAGCGAGGTCGTCATTCCTCAATCTTAGTTCTGCCTTTAACTTTATTTCCCGCGGCCACGTGTTCCGCAAGCTAGGCACACTAACCATCGACTCCTCAATTATTCTATTGTTGGAAAACTACTTTTCTCGATGCCGCCAGTTCGTTGAGTTTGGCCGGAAGAGACTCAGTCCCTTGCCAAACAATCTCGATGTAGTTTATGGTTTCGTCCTTTCTCCTTTGCCCTTCAACATCTTCTGAAATGAATGCCCCTTTTAAATGCATAAAGTACGTCAACGACACCATTATATCAGGATCAATAAAATCACTGGATGACTGAAAAAAATACAAAAAGAGCATCAGAAGCACATGCCGGTATTTTCCATAAATAAACTTCGTTGAATGCATCCAAAACTACAGAATGGGACTGCATGAGACAAAACACGAAGAATTCAACGCTCCTTAATCTCTCCTCATATTCCATTTGTAAATAAGTCTAGCTTCATCATGCCAAACTGCTAAATACTTAAATACCGTCTGACTTTACCCCTGGTACGTACAGGGTCGCTTGCGACCAGGTATTGAAGGATTTCATTCTATAAAAAGCGTCTGAAAAGCCTTCATGCACCACGAAATGCCATCAACAAATTTCTTTGCCAGCATTTGACCACGCTATACATATGGACCAGCAGTCATCTTTTCAGACCTGTTGACATGAGAATTCAAGGATCTAAGGCGATCACTGAGAAATTTTCTAGAATAAGTGGTGCTTAATGATCACAAAATGTTCTACCAAGGCATGCCGTTGCTCTAACGGTCTCTCGTGGCACTCGCGTGGATAAGAATGTCTTGCAGAACAGCAGTCACCGTTTGCCTGATAAACTCTTGCAATGTCTCTCGCGAATCTCATCAACTAAATATAGGAATGTTAATGTTTTTTTCACTCCCTTCAGTCAAACAGCGGCATCCTTGCTGTTTTTAGTTCCTACTGCTATTCCTGACTGTCGGATAGCTTCGGGAGGTGTCGCGTCTTCTGGAAACGTCATTAAATTTCTCGCTGCCCAAATACATGAATTTTGCAAGAGATGACAGAAAAACAGTTAGCAGTTTTACATTTATGCTATAGCCTTGGAATACATTTCTGCCGACTGAACGGTCTCTCGCTGACTACGGACCATGTGCTTTTGACAATGGTTCATCATTCCTAACCAACCAGTTTAGTTTAACATTCTTCGAGTGCAGCACGTCGTTTTCGCTCCACTGCAAGTGCGCAAACAAACGCAGAACAGACCAATAGCGGATAAACGGCAAACATGGGCAGCAGGCATCAGAGATCGAAGTAAGCTTTCAGCGACCGCAGTTCGGTTTAAAACAAGACAAAACGATGAAATTTCCCCACCATGGCATTTAGAGCATAACGGCACAAGGTGCTGCTGTACAGGTAGCCATGAAACGCGAACCGAACTCACTTCAGAAGCGGCTTAAACGTGATTTTACGAACGGGCAACAACTCATGGCCTTCTCTCAACGCCTTCCATAAAAGCACAAAGTTTTGTAACGCCACGGTCCTTCTCTCCTATAGCAACAAGATAAAGCGCATTTACTATCGACCGCCGGAGTACGTACTTCTAGGCTAGAAGTCATTTCGATTATCAAGAAGTCCTCGCACAAAGACGACCTGCAGAGTAAGTGCAACCAAACGAAAATGCAGGCGGCTTTAAATGCGATGAAGCTGTTGCTCATTAGCTGCCACAAACAACGGCACGTGCTCTAGAACAAAGTTCGACATGTATGGCGAAGCGCGTAGAACAAAACAGTAAATATGAAACAAACTAACTTTCACGAAAGCACTTTGGTAGAAATGCGAAAGTACCGCCATGTCAATAAACGGTCTTAGAACAACCGCGTTTTGCGCGTCTTCGTTTTGCACATCATCGACTGCTTTGTATGACAAATGAGTTATGTACAAAAAAGTTTCCAGCGCTTCGAATATCACTTCAGGAACTTCATATTCAGATAAAATGATCAGCGCTTTCATCTCGTACACATCTTTTACAACACCTAAAACGCATATGGTAAAGCTTGAAGGTTGTCAATCGTCTAAGCGAAATTAATATGCCGTCAAGTCGGTAAGTCGTAAAGCGTCGGTCGGTAAAGCATTAGGTATCAGTCCCTGCAAGGTAACTGGTCTTTCATTCTTTTGAAGTAAATACATGGAAATTAAGCAAACGTGGCTGCAGATATTACTGTAAAGAAAACAGGACACTGCTGACTGATCAGATGGAAACGGAGGTCCATTCCTTGTTATAAGTCAGCTGAAAGAATGGTAACACAAATAACGCATATTATGGAAGTGTAAGGGAGAGCATCATCTTAACTGACAAATTTTTCTTTCTTTTTCTCAACCTGGACAAAATTTATAATGACTATACTAAATTTATAAGCAGCAGCGAGTATTACACGGGAAAAAAACCGCGTAAAATACGGGTATGGGTGTGTAAAAAATGACAGCAAACAAACTGCCAAAATTCTCCGACAATTCATGATGAATACAGAAAGGCCGGCTGAGGTGCGACGAAAACAACGATGAAACGCGAGATGAACTTGAAACATATCTCAATGATAGACAATGCTACAGAACTGTCTCAATTTCGTATTCCTATTAACCTGTATGATGCTTGAAGGGAATCATGATGATAAGTCAGCAAAGCAACGCTCAACCGTTCTGCATTTAACTTTAAGACACATTTCTTCACTTATGCGAAATTCACTGGTGTTCAGAGTACACAAAAATATGGGAGACGGCATCGAAATGCCGCGCAATATCGATAGAATTAGTCTACCAACTTAATAAAGTCAGAAAACCCTTTACGATATAGCTGTAAAAGCATATACCCACGCCTGATTTACCACCAGTGACTAGCAGTGCAGTGCTATGACAAACACAATGATGCGGGATGCATTCATGTAATGCCAATCCTAAAGTGCCATATAGCCAAAGCCTGCTTAAATGCCCCTTTTAATGCATTTTTGAAGAGGCTGAGGTAACGTTATGCAGTTTGTATTGGTGGATCACGCTTATGAGGTTGTTTGTTCGCGTCAGTCAAGTGATTAGTGCAGTGATCGCAGCAAATCCTGTATCTTATGCAATAATGATTTACGAAAGAGCGAACACTCGCTGAGAAAACAAAAACAGAAGGCATATTCAAATAAATGAATGTTGATGTGGACTGAGCAATATCTTCTATAGAGTTAGTAAAAATGGGTACCAAAAAAGACAGCACTGTCCAAGTAACTGCCGTCATTCGCTGTCATGGGCATCGATCACTGAATGAACGAGTGCGATCCCGGATATACAAGCGGCACAAACGAATTTTCTTCGAAGGACTGTTTGGGTGACGGGGCTCGACAAGCTTCGAAAGATGGCACAACGAGATACCCCAGCTTGTAAGCATCATCTTCAGCAAATCGACAGATCGCAATAGCGAGGGATTTTACATGTGAATGCCAGAGCAGAGACGGCAAGGGGAATCCTTCAGCAAAATCATTCGCAAACGACCACCACTTTAATCGAATCGAAGGATAGATGACTTGTGTATATCGGACATGCAAAATCGAGCTTTGTAATCAAGAACGTTAAAATGAAATGGAGAAAATCTGAAAATATGGTGATAAATCCTCAACTCCAACCCATGCAACCTGAGGAACACAGCGCCATGAACGAATCAAAACACTGTGACCAATAACCGCAATGCCAGGGTAGATCGACGAGGCGTGAAAGCCACCTGAAGCAGATTCGTCTCACAGATGTTTGAATGTTTCGCTTTTCTATATCACAACCTGTCCTTTCCTATATCACAACCTGATCACTGTCCTCTGCCAGCCGGGGGCGCAGCAGCGTAACAACGGCTGACGAAAATACCACTCAATAACGGAGTCGCTACCCGTTCTGAACGGAGGAGACAGACAACGCGATGTCACTACAGCACGTCAGAAAAGGCTCCCCGAGAATTACACCGTCACTGGGAGCTTACAG